GTTTCTCATTATATCCTAATGCTGCCATCATACTTACTATGGAGATATACAGACCTGAACAGCTTTTATAACCCACAAAGAGAGAGCAAGGAGAAATAAATAAATGTCTGTTGGCTAAGCCCCCCAATCTATAATATTTTGTCATAGCAGCCAGACAGACTTATACATCCACCATCACTCCCGCCAGAAGAGCGGTGGGGGTGCGGGTTAACAGCTGTAAATCAAATTCACCTTCTGAGTGATTCACATCCTCACATAAGCTGAGCAGCCAGCCGCAGTTTCTAACACTGACAGAGCTCTCCACCCTGTCTGCCACACCCCCTCCCATCGTTCCATACAGCCCCCCATCATTCCATACAGCCCCCATCGTTCCATACAGCCCCCCATTGTCCCATACAGCCCCCCATTGTTCCATACAGCCCCCCATTGTTCCATACAGCCCCCCATTGTTCCATACAGCTCCCATCGTTCCATACAGCCCCCCATCGTTCCATACAGCCCCCATCGTTCCATACAGCCCCCCATCGTTCCATACAGCCCCCCATCGTTGCATACAGCCCCACCTCAAAGGCTTTTATTCATGGAGCTGCTCACAGGAACACCTTTCATAGGGATGAATTATTTTTCCACCACTTGTCACGTCCCACTTTAAGTTTATCCGTTATCATAGTGACACCAGGAGATGCAATTCCAGGTCACACTGAGCTGTGGTCACCACACCAGACACAGGCCCTGTGTGAAAATCCAACTCCCCCAGTCCCCCAAAGACCAACGCGTCCCCTTTCACCAGCTGTGTGACTGTACGTGGGGGGTGGGGACGCGCACTTGCTTACGCCTGCAAAAAAGTCGTCCTAATGAGGACAAATTTCAAACCGTCTGACACGGCCCTGCTATAGAATTACCCAGGGAAACGCTGGTGCTGGCTGAATACTCAATGCCTATCGATTTATGGCCCCAGGTGAAATGAAAAGTCACTCTAATCCTCAGATCTTTTTTTCCCCCAGCCCCATGCCCCAGGCAGATGAGAAAAGCTGGCAGTTGTGGAGAAAATTACGCCAAGCACAAGCTCTCAATTTCCCCTGGTTATTAAATTACATTGACAAATTGCCATGGATGCACATTAAATGACTTCACAATTTTAAAATTAACATATCAAAACATTCTGATATGGGGAGGGTCAAGAGCTAAGGGTTTGCAGCTGTGGCATCGGGTCATTGGTGTGGCCTACAGACCGAGAGCCCTTGGCCCCTGGTAATTTCCGGCTGGACTGGCCCACCTGCAAAGGGCGCAGATGCCCAGCTCCATGGATACTGTGAAGCTGAAGTTGGCAGAACCACGGGGTGCCACAGGCAAGGAGAGGGCAGTGTCGGTGGAGGCACTCTGCCTGCCCGGGGAAAGGGAGGGCATGTGACGGGCTTGGCTCCTGCTCTAAGATGCAGCTTCGTTTCTGTTAACCAAGGCATCAGCCGATTGCCCTTTGCTAATGCAGTTCAGGAAAGCAGGGCCCGCTGGGGGACAAGCACTCTGATGCCTGGACACTGCCAGGGATCAGAGCTGAGCCATTGTGGCCGGCCTCGCACACCTTCCTCCCTGGTGGGCATTTACAGGCAGTGACACCTCAGGGTCCCGCAAACCAGGACCAAGCATAGCAAGCCCTCAGTCAAACCCTCAGGACAAAAGGCATTGGCCCCAAACAGCTAGCAAAGTAACCTCTAGGATCAGGTCCCACCACTTGTGGTGTAGAAGGTACTCAAGCTTCCATCTGCCAGGCCTATGATCTACTGCCCTTCACACAGAAAAAATGCAGGACAGTCTCCCTCTATGCTCCTGATGGTTCTGAATTTCAATTTTGGCGAAATAAAAAGAGCAATTCACAATGGAAGACATTGCTTCCTCTATTAGAAAATTCCTTAAAGATCAGAAGGAATTGCGATGGAAAAGCATGGGGTGAACCCACATAGTCAGCCTAGTGAGGCCACTAATGGCAGCACAGGAGTTTTTATAAAGGCACGAACCCACAAGGACAAAGAAAACAGGAGAAGGACAACCGCCCTGGATTTGTGTGAGCTGGAAAAGCAGACAGAGGTGTGGTAGCTCCTTAAAGGGGCAGGGGGAACGGCATCCTAGGGCAAAGGGGAGGATGAGAGCAAGATGCCCAAACCCCAAGGGCTCAGGATCCATTCCACTCAGCACCCTGGAACGGGGAGGGGGGGGGGGCAGAGGTGAGACTAACAGCAGGAGGGTCCACTGACAATGTCCTCAGGAGCCCAGGTCCCTTCTCCATTGGGCGGTGTGATGGCCTATTCCCTGCAGGCAGGGAAGCGCTTACTGCAGAGAGCAAAACACAGGGTCTCCCCAGGCTGAGCTGAAGCAGGGTGACTGCCTGGAAAGGGGGGGGTGGGTGGGTTAAGGGAGTTGCCTTCTACCCTCAAAAGTGACTAGCCCAGGGGAACAGAGAACATGATTTAAGTGCATAAAGTAAAATGTACAGACGTATAAAGAAAACCAATTATACTTGCATTCATTTAATAAGACAGATAAACTGCTTTAGTCACAGAAGTGCTTCTAAGTTAATGTATTAAATAACAAAATCCATGGCAGATCTAATAAGTACAGTAGTTTTAAGCTGTGATAAGCACAAAAGATATGTTGAGATATCTGCCAAATCAACCTTAAATAAAAAAAAAATACCTGATTTGTATTTTGTTGGTGAAAAAGTCACACGCACTCTAATATTACAACTGTGACTGATTGCCTAATCTTAGAATGGAAGAAAATGTTAACAGTCAGATTGAGGCGAAATAAAAATAAAGACAATTTCTTTCCAATTAAAGTTTCCCTAAATTCCATGCCTGAACCCAAACACCAACTTAAAAAAGTCCCTGCCATAGAATTAAGATCACAATTGAAAAGTCTCGCTCACACACAATCATAAATATATTCTTAAATATACGCAGGCAGTCAATGATCACCAGACTTGGAAGCCATCTAATATGAAAGACAGAGACCTAAACAGGTAGAAAATGTCACTTGCCAACAATAGTAGGCAGAGAGATGAAAACTTTTAAAACCGATCATTAACATCATTAGAAATAGGAGATGCTATACTGTCATATGAGGAAAGGATACTATAAAAAGAATGTAGCAGGAAAAATAGTTTTTAGAATTTAAAAACATACTAACAGAAGTTAACAACTTTAAAAGCATCAGAAGATAAGGTTGAGGGAATCTCTCAGACGAACAAAAATTAAAATATAGGCGCTCTGGCCAGTATGACTCAGCTGGTTGGGCATCATTCTGGGCACCGAGGGGTTACTGGTTTGATTCCCAGTCAGGACACATTGGCATGATTTCTTGGTGAGGGACGTGCAGAAAGCAGTCAGTCCGTGTATCATTCTCACATTAATATTTCTCTCTCTCTTTCTCTCGCGCTCTCTCCCTCTTTCTTTCTCTCTCTAGCAATCAATAAAAAAATCATAAAATTTAAAAATTTTTTAAAAATATCTCTATTTAGTAATTGTTAAAAAATTAAAAACAAAATATAGGAGAAATAAATTAGAAGACCAGTGCAACATTTAATAATATAAAGCCTAAAAATATAAGAACAGAAAAAACAATAGCAAAACAAATAATAAAATAACTTAAGAAAATCTTCCAGGATTAAAGGACATGAATACCATTAAAGTTCTCAAAAGCAATATTAGAAATTAGAAGACAATGAATTAATGGCTTCAAAACTCTAAGAGTAAACTCATTTCCACCCAGGCAAGTTACCAAGTAAAGTCTGAAGATAGAATAACAACATTTCCAGACATTCAAAGTCTCAAAATGTTTGTCTTCCTTGTATCTGTTCTGAGGAAGCTACTGGAGGATGGAGTAGCCTAGGAAAGGCACCAACATGGGGTCCAATGAGATACAACCTAAGAGAAAGGGAACTGAATCCCCAGGATTACAAGGCCTGGGATCCTAAAATGACAGCTGTAGAGCGGACCCGGAGTGTGCACGTGTGTGTGTGCGTGTGTGTGTGTGTAATTTATATTATATATTCCTTTATTAGCATGAGAAAATACACAATGTAATGCAAGAAAGGAAAAAATAAAGCAAACAAGACTCCTGGGCTCAGCTATGAATAACATTTATAATCTTAATAATAACAATGTTGAATACTGATCTAATCAAAATAACCATGTAAATGTATTGGGAGGTAATTAGGCAAGGAAATGATTAAAGGGCTAAACAGAATAGGAAGTCAAGACATCATGCCAATAACCGAGAAAGCAAGAAGTAACAACACATGCATGTTACTTAGAGATGGAAGCTGGAAGGAGCTATAAACAGTCGCCCCTGGAGAGGGGGTTATTTTTTTATAATGAGTCTTGCAGAGTAATTGGCTGCTTGATTATATGCAGGTACAACTTGGGTAAAAACAAACTCAAGGTAAAGAAAATGTTTCAGGGCAGTGATTGCTGAGTGTATTAGTCAGAAAGCAAACCAGCAGGAGAGGAGTGTCAGACATGTAGGCAAGGAACTGGCTATGTGACTGTGGGGCTGACCCAGGGGAGTCAACCAAAAAAATGAGTTCGAGTGTCACCTCTGACACGCGTGTCATAGGTTCGCCATCACTGCCCTAGGAGCACTCACTGGTGGTTCAGTCACTAAGGGACCTTTCTCACACTTATAAACAACTGGGCTCCATCAGAGGTCCCTACCTGGCCAAGGGTAGGTTAGTCCAGAACCTGAAAGCCACCTCACACCTTGAAGGTACAATGTGGAACATTGCCACGCAGAACACACTTCTGTGCAGACTAACTTGGCCAACTTCTTACGTAAGTGACCATTTTGTCTCTCATAGGAAACAAAACAAAACAGGAAAAAAAGACCAACAGCAAAAAACAAAAAGGAAAAGTAAGCAAACATAAACGCACTTACCCACCCAAAAAACTGCATGTGAACAAAATGAAGGCGCCACTAAAGGTAAGAACTTACTAAACCAGAGAGCAGAGCTCGCTTCGCAGCACATATACTAAAATCGGAAGGATACAGAGGAGGTTAGCATGGCCCCGCGTACGGATGACCCGAAAAAACACACCAAAAAGCCAGAAAGCAAATCGACAGACTTGATCTGCAAAGTAAAATGCAGGTTTTAAAAAAAGAAATGCAAGAAACTTCCTGCAATCTAGCTAAAGATACACAAAGCAAGGCCACAGATGGACATGGGCAACACAACAGAGCCCATAAGTACAGGTGGATTAGAGATGATAAAAAGTCATTTCAAACTATCTGGAGCAACTTTGTTGCAATAGACTTAAAAGCCCAGACCCATGTTCGGCAAACTGCGGCTCGCGAGCCACATGCTGCTCTTTGTCCCCTTCAGTGTGGCTCTTCCACAAAATACCACGTGCGGGCGTGCACGTACAGTGCGATTGACACTTCGTGGCCCATGCGCAGAAGTCGGTATTTTGTGGAAAAGCTGGTATTTTGTGGAAGAGCCACACTGAAGGGGCCAAAGAGCCGCATGTGCCTCGCGAGCTGCAGTTTGCCGAGCCGCAGTTTGCCGACCACTGGCCTAGATCAAATAAGCAATTTTCTAGAAAAACAAAGTTTGAAAATTGTTCTAAAAACATAAACTATAACAATATTTAAGGTGGCAGGGGGAACAACTCAACAATAATACCAACAATAATAGAAGCAACAAACACCTATTGTAGCACCAAGGGCTGGGCACCTTTTAAATGCTTGTTCCATGCACTGACTGAGCGGACCCTTACAATTCCATGACACAGGCACTAATGTTAACTTTACAGATGAGAAAACTGTAGTCAAAGAAGTGCAGTAACTTGTCCACGTCTCTCAGCTACTTTACCCAGGAAGTCTTGGCTGCAGAGTTCACTGGCTCAATTTTGCAGGTAAGTTCTACTAAGACCTAAAGGGGCAAATAATTCCTGCATTATAACCAGAGCACAGAAAGAGAAAAAAGAAAGCTACATCATAGATGAGTCAGATCATGCATATTCCAAATGAGAAAATGGAGACTTTTATGTTATATGCATTTTACCCCAGTCAAGAAATATATGTCTTGAATAAGAAGAAAAAGAGTTCTGGCCAGTGTGGCTCAGCTGCTTGGGCACCATCCCGTGCACCAAAGGGTTACTGATATGATTCCTGGTTGGGGCACGTGCCCAGACTGCGGGCTCAATCCCTGGTGGAGAGAGAGCGAGAGGCAGCTGGTCGATGTTTTGTTCTCACATCAATGTTTCTCTGTTTCCCTCTTCCTTCCTCTCTCTCTAAAAAATCAATTTTTAAAACACTTTTTTTAAAAGCCACATAACTCATACAGGGTGGAGCAAAAGTAGGTTTACATATGAAAAATAATACAATAATTAAAAAATAATAATATAAGAATAAACTCTCTTTTTTGTACTCACAACTGTAAACCTACTTTTGCCCCATCCTGCATGTGGTACACAAGGACGGGGCTTCAGACCAATGTCACTCACGAGCACAGATGCAAAAACCCTAAATCAGCGGTCACCAACCTTTCAGACCTCATGGGCCACCAGTGGTCTGCAAACCACCGGTTGGCGACCACTGACCTAAATGAAATTGTAAGTGGAAACATAACAATGGATAAAAAAAATAGGACTTTCTGGACAAATAAGGTTTATCCCAAGAATGTAAGGATGCCTCAATATTAGAATATTGACTCAAAACATGAACATCTTAAAGAAAAAGAAACATCTCAGTATAAACAGAAAAAATACTCAAGATTCAACAGCTATTTGTGATTTTTTTAAAAAAAAATTCTAAGTAAAAAAGAAGTCAAATAGTCATTTCTTGACTCCAAAATCAGCACCAAACTATTAAATATTGTTTTAAAGATCTTGGATAATAAGTAAGACAAGGAAAAAAGAAATATGAGAATTGTAAGAAGAGCCAAACCATCATTATATAATATACCCAACACAATGTGATAACCAAAAATAATTTTAGAAAAGTCATTAAGGTTACAGGTTAGCAAAACCAAAAGTATTCAAATACCATTAGATTTTTTATGCAATAAATATTTAGAAAATGAAACAAACATTAACCCTTAAAATAGCAACAAACTGCACAAACTATAAGGGAATAACCCTAATAAAAACGTGTAAGATCCTTACAAAGAAGATTACAAAATGTCACTACAGGACATAAAAGAAAACATGAATGGAGAGAGATGAAATAGAAATGAGGATTCAATAGCTAAAAGGAGCCAATTTACTCAAAATTAATACATTGAATGCAACCTCACTCAATACTACAACAGAATGTTTCATTAAATTTGCAAACTAAGCTGGAAATTCATATTGAGTACTACAAATGTAACATTAGTCAAAACCATTTTGAAGATCCCAGAAAAGAGGGACCAAGCATTAAGACTTACTGCAATTATAGAAATGTTAAAGTATAACACTGGAAGAGAACCCACAGGCCCACAGCATGGAACATGACTGGCTCAGGTCCAGAGATGGCCACGCACCCATGGGGATTTGGCATCTGATGGAGGTGGTTTTTGACATGGAGTCAGGAAAGTCCTATGTTCATATAAGAAAAATAATCAACAAAACTGGATCCCTACCTCATACCATACACACATAAAAATTCTAGACAAATTAAAGATCCAATTTTAAAGTCTATTTTTATATGTATTTAAAAAATAAGAAGATATTGGCATAGATCTTTATCACATCCTGAACCCCCAACTTCTCCAATAAAACAAAACCACCACAAACCCATAAAAGAAGGGATTGATAAATTTGGTTACAGCAAAATGAAAGGTGGAGGTGGGGGTGAGGGGTGTCTAATAACAAAAAATACGCAATATTAAAAAGAAAAACAAGGCCCTAACCGGTTTGGCTCAGTGGATAGAGCGTCGGCCTGTGGACTGAAAGGTCCCAGGTTCGATTCTGGCCAAGGGCATGTACCTTGGTTGCAGGCACATCCCCAGTAGGGGGTGTGCAGGAGGCACTGATCAATGTTTCACTCTCATCAATGTTCCTAACTCTCTATCCCTCTCCCTTCCTCTCTGTGAAAAATCAATAAAATATTTTTTTTAAAGAAAAACAAGCTATCAAGAGAAATTATTTGCAACTTGTATACAACAAGACTGGTGCTCAGAACCTATAAATAACTCCTAAAAACCAGTAAGAAGACAACAGAAAAATGGGTGAAGAATGTATAAAGAAGCAGTTTGTAAAAAACACACAGACAATAAACATAAAGAAGTATAATCAACTTCACCAATAATCAAGGGGAAAAAAAACTAACAATAAGTATCATTTTTCAGCCAAGAGACTGGAAAACTATAATAAACTAGAGGCTCAGTGCACGGATTAGAGAGGGGGGCAGGCCAGGCCAAGGGACCCCACAGGTGCACGATCAGGCCTGGGGAGGGATCAAGGGAGGGCTCCAGGGCATGTCTGGCCCATCTTGACCAGTTCCAATGGACCAGACCCCAGCAGCAAGCTAACCTACCAGTTGGAGCGTCTGCCCCCTGGTGGTCAGTGCACATCATAGCAACTGGTCAAACAGTCGAACACTCAGCATATTAGGCTTTTATTATACAGGAAAAGATCTGAAGACATCATGAAGCATGGTGACATTCTGAGAACGTAAATTGGCACAGCCACACTAAAGGGCAATTTGGCAGGATCTACTATCCCAAAATTCCTCTCCTACATGTTTACCCAGAGAAACCCCATCTGCACACACTACACATTACCATGATAGTACAACTATGTTCATTCCAACATTTGTAATAATCAACAACTAGAAACTACTCAAATGTTCCACAGGGGAGTGGCTACAATACCTGAATGTATATGATAGGTGTTAACACCATACATATTCTAGATCTTAAAAACATGTTGTGCCCTATCCAATTTGGCTCAGTGGGTAGAGCGTTGACCTACAGACTGAAAGGTCCTGGGTTCGATTCTGGTCAGGGCATATGCCTGGACTGGAGGCTTGATCCTCAGTGGGGGGTATGCAGGAGGAAGCCAATCAATGATTCTCTCTCCTCATTGATGTTTCTATCTCTCTCTCCCTCTCCCTTTCTCTCTGAAATCAATAAAAACATTTTAAAACAACATGTTGAGTTAAAAAGTTGTGGTGTGATATGTACAATACCCATTCACGTAAGAACACACATCATTGTATATTTTATGGATACAAATAGGTCTCATACAAAACCAGGGGTGATGGTCAAGCTGCCTCACCTGGATCTCACCTGCTCCCATGCATCACTAGCACTGCGCTCAGAACAGAACGCAAGGCTATGACTGCGGGGAGTGGTCTCGGATGGGCCTCTCCCACAGCCTCTCTGCTAGCTTGATTCTCCCGCAGGGGTGTGAAAGTGTCCACAGCACAGACTGCTTAAGGTTCCTTGAAAAATAAGCTCCTCTTGGTTTTAGCCCCTTTCTAAGTAGGATTCTGGCCGGCTGCCTGGGATAGCCAAGGGCCTCACGTATACATGAATTGATTCATTCAATATACATTTACCAACATACATGTGTTAAGTCCCTACTACATGCCAGGTTCTATTTAGGGCTGGAAAGACAGTGAATCTTAGTCCTTAGAGAGTTTAGTCTATTCAGGGAGACAAGTAGGAAGAAAATGACACTGTCTTGTGGTTAGAGCGCGGGGTGTCTCGGGAGCATGGAGGACGGGCACCTATATTGGGGCTGCGTGATGTCTGGGGAACTCCAGATGGAGTGGTGCGGGGTCAGGTACAACAGGACCGCAGCAGAACCCGAGGGCAGCACTAACTTTCCCCACGCTGCTCTCACCAGTCCGCGGGTGGCGGGGAGCGTAGAAGACCACCGCCCGCCCAGTGAGAGCTTCTACTCAGCGGCTCCTCTGACAGCTGCCTCTCATGCTCCCTCTCGTTGCAACAGCCCCCCCCCCACCACCACCACCAAGCATGAAGAGGAAGGCCCAGGGTCCCTCCCAAAGGGCTGCCTTCGCAGGTGCCGGCAGCCTGGTTTTCAGTTCTGCCTCTTCACTGAGTCCATGGGGCTGGGTGACCAGAGAGCCCACTGTACCAGGATTATTCAAGGACCAAGAATCCT